GGTGAAATTCATAATGTGAATCGAGAAGATTGCAGACGTTAATCAAAACATCGAAATATAAATGGATATGCATAGGGTTCTATCGTACAACATGAACCATGAGTAGATTCGAGGACATGCATATTTAGTCGAAGTGCACAACGGAGAGGCTCAGATTATCGTAAAAGAAACCGGAAAACGAATGACAAAGTCATGCATGAGCATGATAGTCAACAAGCAGTTATGTAAGCCTAAAACTGTGCACTGTAACCTGCCAATCGTCCAATTAGACATCATCTATCTCTCTCCCATACAACTAACAGCATAATAATATGGGCATCGAACAGTGCTGTTTAGCTGGAAAAAAGTAAGCATAGAGTAGGAATGAAAATGTCCGACATACATCTTTTGCACTGAAAACCGCAGAAACCTAATCACTGTGGACTGTGATGTAAACAACCGAATGTGAAAGTAACTTAATCTATTTGGGAAAATTAGCCAACGTTATAACACTCTTTGGTTGACCTGCTTCGATATGCAAAAGAGGATAATACACAGACCACGCATCTTATAGATTGACGTCTGCTTAAAAGACTAGGGTTGTAAGTTGTGCGATAACGGACTGGTTTGATCAAGGGCAATGCGGTAGTTGTTCACACACGAGCAAATTAAGGACCAGGTTTTTTAAACATGCTCTTGATGAGATTTGCTTAACAAACAGTCAAACGAAAGTCAGGGGATTTCGGGGCAGGGGTTCGGAAGACAACTATATATAGAATCGTTAAATTACGTTTGCCATGGCTTGGTTTGAACAACGATCCATACATACATACATACATACATTACATACATACATACATACATACATACATACATACATACATACATACATACATACATACATACTCGAATGGAATAAACGATCTCAACTCCACTTACACATTTCAGATCGAACAGCTAATCGAGCTACACAAACAAAGCAAAAACCTACGTGAATCGCATAACCAAGCCCATAACCGTTCGGTGAAGTCGGACCGAATCCACCCATTGCGAAGAACGGAGACGAAAGAGTGCTGGTTGAGAGCACAATCCGATTAATATGGGCGTAGCTATCGTCCAGGAATAGGTCGGGCATAGACAATCCACCAGCATGCTCTAACAGGGCGAAATGACGAAGAGCGAACAAATGTCGATCCCAACCTGATGTGAAATGCACAAGCACAGAAAGATGTATTAGAAAAACAACTGAATGTTTGATCTGTTTCTCATAGACACGTTTCCCGTGGCTGTTTTGGCTAGCCAGCAGTGCTTGTGCTGTTCTATTGCTGCTTAAACAAAAAGACAGATACATCTCTGCCCAAGATATTGTGAAGCGAACAAACTACACAGTATAAATCAGCTACAAAGACCAATTGCAAATGATCAATCACAATCGTTTAGTGCAAAGCTTTTCCCCACTTCCAACAGTTCACTGTTCTATTTTTCTAATTAATTGAAGTTAAACAAATGTTCGACTTATACTATATGCTCCTGACAGAAATCTCAAACTACTGTGATGTAGGGTGGTAACAGCTGAGAAAACAAAGTGACAAAGAGCAACATTCACCGAAAGTTGAACAACAATCAACCGCAGGTGAGAAATTAATCAAGCGTATGAGCCATATTGGAGCTGAATGGCCCCAGGATTGTCATCGAAAATGTTGAACAGCTGTTCACACAGACAGAAAGACAACTGTAACTTAACCAGATCAACTGAATGCCAACTTATTGCGTTCATAAAACGATGTTACTTTGTTCCAATGTATATCGCAAAAAAGACTTCAGGTATTCAGAAGTCAAAATTTCAGATTCGTAAGTGGTTAGCCTTTGTTGCATACCACTGACTGTTTTGTGTGTACTCGCAAAAGGGTAGCCATTCCGACACCATCACCCAGATTCACGGAGGTTGAAGGGGAAGCAATACAGTGCGTACAGTGTTATCACAGCGTTTCAACGAACAAATATCGGAACTCGGAAAGATTCCACTTTGTGGATTTATTCGATGGCATAGATTGCACNCACGTTTTACAATTCAATTCATTTGTTTATCTGTGATATAACAATGGCAATCACTTTGTAATGAACCGCAACACAAAAAATCCTTAAAATAGCCGTCTGAGTTGGCAGGAGTCCCATACTTAAAACCTTCAACAGGACTGGTTCGGACGAAGAAACGAGAAGAACGACAGGTCTTCACGTGAACTGGAGTGTTCTACTTAAATCTGAGGATTGGATTCGATTCAATTCAACATTAAAATGCAAACAAAGTATTCACAGTGTTCTTTTCAGCAAGTTCTCACTGGTAAACAGGTCAACCATTCCTATGAACGCTGGTGTGTTCCCGGTCATAAATAGCCAACGTAAAAACTACCCACTAAAGCACGTGGGGAACAGAAAAGGAGAACAAGCACAAAATCCGGACATCATGGACAGGGAAAATACCCGGAGCGAACGGGGTATACAAACCTTGGCCCATCGCAGCTTCTTTGGTGAGCGAAATGTGCTTGGAGGAACAAGCATTCAGAGCATCGATCAATTCGGCCTCGGTGACCGCGTTTGAAGCAGGTCGATCCGATCCGGGAAGTGAGACAACCTCGCCTAATGGTCGACGC